CCGCCTCCCGCCTGCAGTGGCCACAGCTACAAGTTATGAATGTGAAACATTTCTCCCAGCCCTAGGACTCGGAAGTTCGGAGGGAGTGAAATGTAATGAACACAAGAGCAAAGCAGATGTTTTAAAGAAACACCTTATAAACCTTTCCTCAACTGATCTCCAATTTGTCGGCTTTCCCAAGGGGCCGGAGACTGGGACCAAGGGCGGAAGGAGGGGGAGGGGAGAGGGAATCTGCGAGCGACTTCGATTTTAGGGACCCCTCATGTAGGAAACAAAGAAAAACGTTTTGCTAGCTCTCAATCAAGTCCTGTAATGAGCACACCACTGTTGCTATTTGTGGGTTTGTTTGGGTTGGGTGGGGCTCCCCCCCCCTCCCTTAATGATGTTTTCGCGGCTGGCTTTTTAAAGGAGGTGGAAAATGGTGATTATAACCATTACATGTCATGGGTGGCTTTTCCCTTGTTTCATATTAAATTATTGGACCCTGGGATGTGACTGGCGACAGAAATCGGCTTGTTCTGCCCCTGCCCCCATTTCCCTGGCTCGGTTTGGAAGGGGGTCTGCCCCGCTAGGATAGGAGGGGAGGTGGGGAGGGGAGCTGGAGAACGGACACTGCAGACCAGGATATGTAACCGTGTCACTTTTATTCTCCTTTGGGTTAAAAACCCAAGAGGTGATTTACTCTAAGTTACCCCGAGTGCCCAGTCAAGCTTAATTTGTGTGAAGAAGTTACAAATACTTCACCCTCCACTGAATAAAATTCACCCTTCTTGGGTTGCTGTTCTAAATGCGAAAGCCAAGCCCTGTAACTAGTTCCTCATTTCAATGCACAAAACTCGCACATTCCCCTGCATGAAGTCCCCGCTAAGTGCTATAGAGAGACACACCACGCAACCGTACTTACGGTCTGTATTGGATCGAGTTGACCTTTTCCTCCTAACTGCATTGAATGTGTTTGGTTGCAGCCGCTTTATTTTGGAAATTATAATCTCTTCAACAAATTTATTATTAAAGAAGATGGACCATCAAATGTCACAGACCGTCCTGTGTATTTTTGTATAAAAGCAAAAAAGAAAAAGGAAAAGAAAAACAAAACAAAACAAATCCCCCTGGTGCCCACACACAACAAGCTTGTTCTGCAACACTGAAATCAGGACTGAAACACAACACACGCACAGGGGGAGTGGAGCAAAAGGAGCTCTCAGCCTCTATACCTGAAAGGGACTTTTCTTTGTTCCCAATGCCCTTTCGCAGAGAGCCAATCAGAGAGCAGCTTTTATGAAACTGGGCTCTCTGATTGGCTGGCTGCTTTCTCTTGGCTACTGTAGGGGGTTGAGATATACACACGTATAAAACACACACTGAGAGCGGGTGGGGGTGCCGTGGGGGTGGTTGTGGAGACAAAGCGTTTTATTTTCCAACCAGATTGGGGTTGAAGAACCTCCTGCAGGAAGGGAACGGGAGGGAAAAACGGTGCGCCTGTTTCAATTACTACATCATTCACATAAAACACTTATTTATTAAAACACATCTCAAACCGGCTGCGAGGCGAGGCTGTCGGTAAATACAAGTTTGATTGTGTTATCTTGGGGAAAATAATGTATGTGATCGCTCGGTGGCAGAGGGAAGCCAAATGAGCCACTAGCGTGTCGCGAGGAGACAGGGGAGGCAGTGTGGGAATGACTGCGAGCGCTTCGCTGGCTTCCCTTCCTTGTTCCAAGGACTCGGCGGCGCGAATTCCCCGGTCTGGTTCCCTTTCGGTATTGCTTCCAGCCCTCCCCCACCACTCGACCCAGCCTGCAATTTCTCTCCCCTTTCGCTCTCTATTTTAGCTCGCTGATTAAATAAGAAAAATCGATCTGGGGGTAAAGGCGGTGGTGGGGAAAACAAGTAAGTAACCCTTTTGTTTCCAGGCTTCTGGTTCTACAAGCCCTGGCGTGTGAACGCTGGCAACGCGCGAGCCACCACCACGTGAAAGGCTCTTCCCCGTCGTGTCTGTAACAAATCTCTTCCACCTGGTCTTTGCGGCACCAAAAAATAAAATAAGGTTCCAGCTAACCATATTAACACCTCGGGCCAGTCTCTCTCTTTTTTTAAAAATCGATTCATGGAGATACTTAGGAAGATTAACCCCTTAACCAATTCCATTCCGCATAAAAAAAATCGTCAGAATTCCTCTCCCTACTCCCCAATCTGTAACCCTGTTTCTAGCGAGTGCAAGCGCTCTGAATGCTCCATCCGTCTATCCACCAAGAATACAGAAATATTTTAGAATTTATTGGATTTATTGTAAGACAAATGTTCAGCAGCCAAGTTAATGGGACTCTGAGGTCAGAGGACAAAACAGGTTAATACGACAGAAGTTCAGTGTTGTACCATAACAGGTAATGTATTTATATACTTTAGAGTGCATTTTCTTTTTCATTTTTTCCCTTATGTTCCTTTATTTTTAGGTGCCATAATATAGACATTCTAAAGCCAAGGGAGGCTCTGAATTCAGTCAAAAGCCTCATTATGCCAAGTTTTTAGGATCCTGGCATACTGAGATTGTAATTTTCCATAGAATAATTATAATTTAAGATTGTGTCTAAACTGAGTCCAGCAACCGTATAGCATGGATTTGCGCTATCAGAAGATAACTTAAATGTAAACATTCAGTGCTGACTTTGTAGATCAATAAAAATATTTGTCACATACTTTAAGTAATGGCTATTGACTCATGTTTAGGTTTCACTATATTAGTCCATAAAAACATTGTCAATTAGTTGTTTCGCAACCCCAGATGAACTGTATTTGCTGCTGCAAATAATAAACAGCAGTTTCCACCCTTTACTGAGGTATATAAACCAGAGGAATGCAATCTGTAACAGTGCCTAGATGTCCATAAATCAATTTGTATCCAACTCAAAGCTGCACATTAACAAATGAAAAGGGGTGAATTAGATATGTGATATCCAATTATCCTCCCTTTTAGCAGTGGGGTTTTATATATGTGAGTGTTCAGATTTTATAATCCGCGTGTGTCCCACTAACAACAACACAACACCATGTGGTGATTTAAGATTTCTCTTGGAAGTAATAGTTCCTCCTAGAACCAGATCACTCTTGGGAAAGTACTGTCCCTGGGGTGTCATCTACATTTCAGCCCTTGCAAACCCACAACCACCCGTACCCTCCATCAGTTTGGGGGGATGGGGGCGATGATTAGGTCTTAAAGCAACAGGATTTCAAAGAGCACAGAAAATTGGAGAAGCCTGTGAGGACACCCCCCACACACTCCTTTCTTAGCAAAAGCCCATCAGAGGGCCTGCTGCACAGATTCGGTGTCACTCAAAACAAAGGTATACTTCCTTATTCTGAAACCATCTCTTCTGACCCTAAAGTAAAGCCTTTTCAGTGAGTCCCATTAGTAAAATAGGATGGTTTAGGCAGAAATAAATTAGATATTGAACCCCCAACAGATAGATAAATAGCTCCTTCCACTCTGAGACAGTCACATTCTATTTGCATCCCACCCCCACCTTCTGCCCCCACAGGTCTTACTGGCGACTTTTGAATAAACCCGTGTTGTTATGCTGGCTTTGCTCCTGTTGGTTTGGTTTTGTTTGACAAAGGGGCCAACCAAGAGAGATCACAGGGCTATCTGCTAATTGATACCTGAAACTAAGGTAATTAACTACTAGCTCTGAAAATCAGAGCTCCTCCCCCCATAAAATTGGGAAGTACTGTTTTTCAGAGAAAAGTTTTATCTCTTATCAGCGCAACAGGAAATACTTGTTTCCATACCAATAGTCAGATAGGTATACTTGATACCGGTGCACTCTTGAGTGCGTGCACGTTGTCGTTTTGCACTTGGGGCGTGTACCTACCAAAGATGTGTTCGAGAAAAGTCTGAAAATGAATTCGGGACGAACTGAGAGGCTGGAGAAGAATCTTATCTCACCTTCAATAACCAGTGCTGCCTCCTTCCTGGGCCCCAAGATCAAGTGCTCCATCACTCACAAAGTGATAAGAACATCCTCCTTTGTAAGGTCAGAAGAGCTCAATGCAAAGGAGCCAGGAATGGGGGTTTAGTGGAAGTGGTGGGGGGTGGGCTGGGGTTCAAGCAGCAAC